TACTCAGAGCCAAGACCGTCAGAAGTACAGCACTTAAGAATTTTCTTAGCTTTGACTGCTTTTCTGGCTGGAGCATATTTTTGTCCAAGCGTGAGTTTTATGTACATATTGGGCAACATACGCAACATTGTATTAAGAGGTGCAGTGGTGTCACATCCACTTAATGTCAGAATCCACAGTCTCTGCTCTCGCTTAATTTGAGGTTATGCTGTGTAGGAGGATATGCTTATTCAAACCACAATGTCTCGGAGGAACTCCAGCCTGCCAATGCAGGCTATTTCTGCCCAATTCCAGAACTTCTCTACAACGTTCCGTGCGAGAGGCGTTAAATCAAGACTTTCGAGTATTCCAGACCATTGGTTTAGGGCCATATATCTCGAGAAGTATTTATACATCGATCCAGAAGAACGAGTTCAGAATCGCCATAAAAGCGTCGCAGCGAATGGTTCTCTGGGTCCAGCTTTTGCTGCCTGGTTGACCCTCGTGTCAGAGTGGTTTGACGCCACTGTAAAATCACTTTGTTTCTATCTTCGTCCGTAGTTAACACAGTCGCCAGTTCTTGTTGGCCCTCGACATTAAAAGGACTGGGACCAGTACTTGAAGAGTCGCTTGACTGTCTGATATTATGAAATTTTCCAACTTAACGTAACCTTTTGTCAATTCATTTCCGGACAAGCGATTATAGTATATCAGGATTGACATCAGTCTGTCGCACAACATACTCGTATAGACGCCTACCATGCCTACAGATTTGATCGATTTTTAACGATCATATTTGACGCTCGATGTGCTGTGTTGCAACGATAAATAAGATTTAACAGCTAACTATTTTTGTGTTGACCAAAATACAGAAAAAAAAAACTTATTTACTAATTATAAGCTTCGCTCACAAAAGCTCTTCCGGCTTATCCGCGGCGAAAGAGTTCAGTCTATTTAAGTAACGATAATATACAATAGAGCAAAAAGCTTAAAAACTAACTTAAGCATTTACTTCTAGCCAGGTATGAACACATGCTCACTTACATGTATATATAAATGGCATATAACATTTAAGCAATTTATAAAATAAAATTTATGTCTTCAGTTGTCATAAAATGTTTATTAATGTATATGATGTTTGTTTTTTGATAATTACATATAAATTCCTCACTCATTTTGTTCATTAATGAAGGTAACAAATAATTCCAATTTATTTTTTCATAATAGTAACTGATTTGCTCGATTTTATCGATCATTACTGTCACCTGTTAACGATCGACAAATATCGGAGTTAAAATCGAACCAATTTGTAGGCATCTACGCCTTTAAATTTAATAGTGTCGATCAACAAAAAAATGCGCTGTCGATCATCTATTGCATATATTTACAAGATTTTTATCCGATCATACGTGTTGATATAAAAAATATTATATCGATCGTCTGTTTCTTAAACATTTACACGATTTACACTGATCACAGGTGTTGATCGACCAAAAATACGATGTCGATCATCTGTTGCTTACAGATTCACTGTGTCGATTGTCAAAAAATCGAGCAAGTTTGAAGGCACTGCCTGCGTTAAGTCTCGACTTCGACCCATCCACACATGACCTTATAGTAGGCAACCATCATGGCAAGACCACCTTTTTCCAATATCTATTTACCTGGAAATATACTGTACGTGCACCTTAGGTGGCTCACCCGCGGTACTAGCCGCTTGAGAACCGAATGAAGTCAGTAGCAACGGTCTGTGACAACCCTGTACACTTGCTAATCTGGGGTCAGAATCTGAACTTAGAAGGTTCATGTGCACGCACAGGTTTTAGTGCCCTTCTCGTATAGGCTAAGAGTCGATAGGGAGTGTCACGTATAATCAAGACTTATGTAGAAAGGTACGAGGCTGACTTTTTCCAATCCTCCTTAGTTGGAAATTCCAAATGGTAGTTCATAAAGTTTTATTTGGAAAACATGACAACGGACACCGTTCTCAGAACAGGACTTTCTAGACTTAGTATAACGATCGCAATGACTATTAGATACATACAAATACTAGCCTCTTTCAGTATAAATTCTTGAACGGGAAGCTGATTCAGCATGGCATCTTGTAGGCACGCAGAGTGAAGGTGGCTAGGGTTGTGTCAACACTGTATTAGGTTCCCTCACGTTTAGACTCCACTGCCTGTTACATATAACAAAAATGGCATTCAGGCCCAAAGGACATGCAGTGAAAAGGACATGCAGGCACGCAATAAACTATATAAGCTATTATTGCCAGTAATGGTCATTTGGTTGAATTTTGCATGCCAAATAACGAAAGCTATTATTATTAACAAAAACTGCCTCTGTGGCCGAACGGTCACCACGCCGGACTGCCACGCAGAGTTCTCAGGTTCGATTCCCGAGTCGTGAAAAATATTTGTATAGCCTACATTTATTTCTTTCGTGAGTTTGGGTGTAATTTGAGGTTATCTATGTGTGTGTCCATGGCATCCGTGACCCAGGGTTTTCTAGTGCGGACTATGTTGAGTGTGTGTGTTATTATTGTTATTATTACTAACAAAGGTAATTTTTTTGTTTTAGACACGCCTTTGAGTAACGCCATGCGCTTGCAGATTATCTAAGAAAAATAGTAGTTTAACTAAGCGAAGAAGCCTATGCACAGCAATGGACAACTTAAAGCCTGTGATGAAATGGTTATATTTGAGTACGTTGTTTTGTGTCATGCCCTATCCTTATGTCAATTTCTCTCTTCTTTTTAGTAAGTAAAATAAAAAACACATTACCCTCATTTCGAATTCAAGCTCCTGTCTCCTTCAATAGCAATCAACGTCGAACCAATCGCTATTGGCTGCATCGAGGAAGCGGAAGCAGCCTACAGAGTATATATACTATAAGTACCATTGTTTGTGCCTATAGACATAGAATAAATCATTACAGATGCGTCACTGGCTGTACAAAATAAACAGCGATGTAAAGTGGCCCATTTATATTTTCTCATTTACTTACACTTGATGGTTCGTTTACACATTGTCGTCATAACAGGGAATGGATCTCATTGCGTTGAATTTTTAACACGATATTTTATTTTAACGCACACACTCAACATAGTCCCGCACTAGGGAAACCCTGGGTCGCGGGTGCCATGGACACACATATAGACAACCACAAATTACACCCAACCTCACGAGAGAAATAAATGTAGGCCATACAAATATATAATATACATATAAATATATAATATACATATAAATATATAATATACATATAAATATATAATATACAAATAAATAATTTCAACAGTTTATTTTTATTACACAGGATATGCCTGAGCAGTGCACACGACTAAACCTCTTGGTAAAGATCGATAATTAGCAGACTTTGTGCAACTAGTAGTCGATATTCAGATTGACTAGATTACTCTGCGATTTTCTGTTTTTGAATAAGTTATATGTAATTTAGCATAATAATAATAAACGAACTTCGCCGCTAAAGTATAGTTTTTTATTTACATATTACAATGTCATTAGAATTGATAGCACAACGGAACAGATTGACTATTACCTATAAAATAAACAACGTGGATTCTATCAACAGGCGTAGAATAAGTAATTATGGAACAGGTGGAACTTGGTTTGTGTGGAATTGAACGGAAATGGAACATTGCGGCTGCGGCAGATTGCCTCCAGCCTCCAGGTGCACAGAACATGCCTGATCTTATCTGGCATAGTAGAGATATCTGTTGGAACATCTTTCGATTCAGTATGTGTAATGGAAATTTAAGTTGATTGACGAAATGCACGTAAAATAGTATTTATTCCAATGTACTGAGGTTCGAAATGTGATGTTCATATGTTATGTAGCATAGCAAAAATCGATGGAAACTTTGCTTAGGAATTTTTGTGTCGCAAATTATACACTATTAATAAGTTCAGTGAAATTTAACTTGTTTGCCATAACTATTCACAGGCACCACATGCTGATTGGTCTAAACAATATAAAAAATAGTTTTAGTAGCAGTAGCGCCCCTTGTCAAAGAGTTCGTCCAGGGAAGTAGTGCCGTACCTATTTCCGCCGTCAAGCCGTAATGTGAGCATTACTGTGTTCTGGATTTGAAGCACAACAATGCTGGTGAAATCGCACATGGGACTTGTGAACGATGTCGCAGGGTGACGGACGCAGTGGCAGTGTCCATCACCCTCCAAATCTTTGCGATTTAAAGCTCTGAATGGCACTGCAACTGTTAACAGGTCTGTCACTTGCCACCAGGCGCACGAGTTGTTCGTCCCGTCACTTGGTATCATAGTCTTTGACAAATATGACACTTATCTGTTTGTGCCTATTTTGTATAAAAATTACACAATCGATCGTACAGACATGTAGCAGTAATCGGTTAGTAAACAACTTCCGTTCAGATTTAAATTAGCAGTCAGGAACTCAGTTTTGAGGGTTTCAAGTTCCTTTCAAGTAGTTTCTAAGCAGTTTCAACCAGTGCAAACATTTTCCAAAACTTCCGAGTAGGTTTCAAGCTATTTCCGAGAGCCAGTTCGATTATACCTAATAAGTAAGCAAACTCGATCTAGCTCTTTGCTCGGTACGCAGTAGAGCTCAAGGCGGTTCTCACGTACCTAATAGCGTGAGTTGGCACGCCCCCTTTAAATGGAATAAGACTTGATCCTTTGCCCCTTTTCTCGTTTTGTATTAGCATACATGTTAAGTTTTTATTCTAGCATAAGTGTCTTTGTTCCATCCTATTTTCTGAATTAAACAGCACCAGGAATTTAAACTAGTCGTTGGCACTCAATTAAAAACTTTAAAATTAAATTCGATAGGGTTGTTTAGCTTAAAACTTTTAAATAATCAGACTTCCTTCTTTGTTTAAGATAATCAAATGTCTTTCTATTGTACCCTTAACTTGTGAGAACTTATTACCTCCTCCTCCTTCGTATTAGGCATAATTATTAAAGTTTATGGACTATGTCTACTCCTCCACATTAATTCCGTTTCTGTTTGTTATAGCAGTCCGCGCGTCGCCGGAACCGCGACGTGCGCCGGCGTTGGTGGAGCCACCGCATCACGTAGAGTTCACCAACGAGACGGGTCTAGTCCTCTCCTGTGCCACTAGAGGGGAATACCAGGTATCTTTCACGGAAGTCGATTTTCTGATTTTTAAAAAAATTTTGAAAGTTTTTTTGTGTTAATAAATAAAGCGAAATGCAGGTCGGGACCCAACACGTGCCCGACTCGCACCCGATTTCAGTGTGTTTTACGCTTAAAACCCTTTATAGCAGTTACACAATGCGACTTTTAGTAGCGATATAAATGTTTGAGAAACGCGCGATTGCATCGCGGCACTAGCAATTTATAGGTGTGTAAAGGCCGACTATGGAAATTCCACCCTCTAAGTTAAAGGCAGACGATTAGCGGGTGCACCGAAACTGAATCGCTATAGACGCGCTGCTAAAAGTGGTCGTGTGTGTCTGCTCCTATAGTGGATATTATTATTTCATATACTGATATTTACCTTAGGTAGAGTTTGGCAATAAGCCACTTCTATTAAAGTTTGCAAAATTACAAAGTCTGTAATAGCAAGTTGTGAGTTCGTAAAGTATTTATTTCCACCCATTATTACTTATAACTTCCAAGTCGCTCATTTAGACTTTCCGAACTTGCCGATTTCTGCACACAAACTTGGTTTAAAGATTTTCTGATCTTCGAAATGTTGTAGTCTAATGAAGCGAAACATGAGGATAGATTTGCATGGTGGACCAGATGTAATATTTCCCGATTTATTTCGTTCGTAGTTCTTGGGAGAATAAACAAATCCCGGGGCCCATTTATCTTGTTTTACCGTCATGTCAACCTAAGCCCAATTACATTTTCAAGCTGTAGATAGTGCAAAAAAACGGAGTTAACAGTAGAATATCTTACTCTTTTACTACTAACATATATTTTTTTAAGTACAAGGAACATTATTGCGTACAGAAAAGAAATTTAACACTTTTTTTCTGTATTATTTCGTTTGTGGGCTAACCAACAACTTGAAGATAATAATAATACCAAACAAAGGTACCAATCACCTGGTCTTAAACTAGGGAATTCCCAAGGGCAAATATAAGTGAGTTTGGAGAATGGGGAAGATCTTCAAATTGTAAGTAAAGTTTGTTCACTAGCTTGGGCTGTATGTCGTAGAGAGTAGCGGAGAAGATTATTTGACGAGCCGTAGTTGTTTCTCTGAGATTCTTGACATCATCGTCCGCATTTTTATCTTTATTTTTTTGAGCATTATATTAATTTGTCGCCGGGGCTTAACCACTGTGTTAAGCATAACGTAAATAGTATGTGCCAGACTACCACACCAATTGCCTGATCTCAAACTAGGGCATTCCCTGCACTATGAGTTCCAGAACAACGGAATTCATTCCGGGGACTATTCAGAACACTAATAATACGATTACATGTTTTTTTTTTCATTATTATGTAACAAATACCTAAGAACGTGTTTCAAAAAAATTTTGTTGTTTAGCCCGTGATGAAATTCTAGATCAAAAATATAAATAAACAACTGTCACTGTCAAAATGACGTATCATATACTTTATTTTTCAGATTCGTTTGTTAGCAAGTTCTACTCCAGATATTATGAGTAATAAATATTATCGAATTAAAAATTAAATTAAACTTTTGTTGGCAAAACGTCTTAAAGAATTTTTAGAATCACTATAGGTCTTCATTAATAACATTATCTAACTACTTACCCAAATAACTACATATTTTCTGTCATACGCTGCATAACTGACAGGAATCTGGCTACCGTGTCTGGTCGATTATCCCTTCCACCGGCCCGAACGTGTCAGTCTCATAAATTGCGCCCCCTGGAATATTCAGGTTATCCGTGTCAGATTAAGTCTAGAGTATAGTGTATGGTCCATGTTTATTTATATTTTATTAAGAAGCTTAATTAATATTTGTTTCGATACCTAAGTACTTGTAATATTAAAACACACTGTTACGTCATCGACAAGGCGTCAAAAACCGTATAAAAAAGGCTATCAAAGGTTGTATATCCCTGAACATTGCCATGAGGATAAAATATTTTACACAAGAGTCTGTTTCCATAAGCTTACATTATTAATTAGTATGTTTTACAACAATAGATTTCTCACAATTTAAGCACAATATTATATATTGCATTACTATCACATTAGGTAATGGTAGAAGTGTTGGTGAATAAATAAATCAAAAAAATATAACAGTAGAGAGTTCTTGTGAAAGAGTCTTTCTTGAGACAAAGTCCAGTGAAGTGCGGCCAAAAGCAATATATACATAGATATATAATATATGTATATAATAGAAAAGCAGTAATGTGAGCATTACTGTGTTTCGATTTTGAACACATCTGCATTCGTAAATTTATGTCTCAAGGTGACGAACGTGTGGCAGTGCCCCTCAGATCTGTATGATTTAAGGCTCTGAGTGGCACTGCAACTGTTATGGGCAGGCGTGTCGCTTACCACCAGACCCACGACTTGTTGTCCCGTCACGTATCATAAAAAAAACCAAATATTTTTAAATGTATACATTTACACATTTTATAATATTTTTTGTGACGGCTCCACGTTTGTTTACAGTTTTGATCTCGAATTTTGTTGCGGAGTTTAGACAAAAATCAATCTATCAAGTATGACTTATGTGAATGTACGAAGACATGAAATATATTGCCTGAAGTTCAACCACGCGCCCTACGCGCCAATCTGATTCAGTATTCAGAAACCCGCTCGCCCAACTCAAATATAAATAAAGTTTTTCCATTCGAGGAGTTCGGCTAAAAGTTTGCGGTCGCGAGCCCCACCGGGAAATAAAGATATGCGCATCCGGCTGTGGGCCGTGCGTCTTCTATAAATATGGAAAAGTGTTACATTGAGCGCTCTTTTCGCTCATTATAGTAAACGGGACAGTTCTCCGGGCCGTTGCCCGCTTTATAATAAAAGGTTAACTCGATTGACAAGAAACATTACAAGTAATTATTTGTTAAAAATTTGTTACGTGTACCTTAGAAAATTAATGCTTTCTATCATAAGTACTGGCAGTGTAAAAGTTTAAGAAATTTTTATTAAGCAACTTTATGAGAAAGAAAAAATCAGACATTACTGCGAAAATACTGTCAAAACCGCACTTAAAAAAAGATTTAAAAAATAAATCAAAAATAAATAGTCTCACAGGGGCTAGATTTAATTCAGCCCAAATGGCGCAAATAAACAGGTCTTTTATATACGAATTAAATTAAAAACTCTATAGTCGCCCGGAATTCCTGCTAAACTTTCCACATTCACCGAGTTGGGCGGTATTTGGCGTCGGAAACGATTCACGAGGGACCCCGTCCCCCGCAACTTACCACTCGCCTCCTCACCTGCCCTCTGAGTTCCACGATTAATTTCATAACTTGACATTGGAAACGCTATTTGTATGCCTCCCGATTTGGAGGCGCTACGCATGGCCTTTTTCCGCCCAAATTTGTACGTTTGAACGTGAGAATTTTGATTAATTAATAATATTCCATTGGTAAACAATTTAGAGGCACTTTGACTGATGAAGGTACGTACGGAATGAGGCAGATTATATCATGATCACTAGATATAGCGCGCCGTTTTCCTATTTCAAATATAAGCATGAGGATTTTTAAAATACCCAATTTTTCTCGATTTCTTAGGTTATTGCGATTGTTACACATAGGAACTGAAACTGTGTTTTGGATCTTAATCGCATATATTTGTTTTTTCAAACAAACCAACATTTCGGGCCACATAGACGCCCATTGTCACGGTTGACTGCGTGAATTCATCAACCAATTGTGTCTAATATTAATGTTAAGAAGCTAAGATCCTGAAACCTCGATATACACATTTAATATTAAATTAATTATGTTGTAATAATGTACATAATATTATATTTAGTTATGCGCCTCAGCTATGTTCCGTGTCACGCGAATTCACTGAAAACCTACGTCATAGAACTTTTAGTGAAATGACAATAAGCTGAGTGCATGAGGGATAATGACAAGATGGTTACCTGACAGAGTGAATAATACTGAGATCCGTGAACGATGTGGTTTAAAAAAAGATGTCTAATACTCGTATTAATGCAAACTACCCAATTTTTCACTATAGTTACAAAACCAAGGTTTCATTATTATTGTTCAAAAATATCAAACAACGGTAAAATTCATACCCAACTCCATGCACTGCAAAATTTTAGTAACAATAAATTTATTTTACAAAAAAAATTACGACGAAATCAAGCATGCACCAAGCAGACATAAAATCCACATATCCAGAGCAGCGTACGAAGCTGTATTAATGAACGGGGCGTAAAAGCGTAGAGTCGCGGAAAACAATTGCTACGCGGGTCGCAGATGGCACACGGGCTCAAACTAATGAAGTGCCTTTTAAGAAATTGAAAACGAATCGAAAGCCAGTGGGAATTTTCCATGACAAGTCCCTTCGGATAGAAGAATATTCGTAAGGATTTTACTACTAAAGTTACCATCAAAAAGGAAAAATAAACAATGGAAATGCCTTAACCCTCGATTAATGTCAGAACCGATGTCGCCAAAACTCACACATTCTTAATTTGAAACACTACAAAATCGTAATATTGATTGGTCGTAGTTTCAAATTTAAAAAGAAATAACGAATTCTGGATTGTTAATATAATTTAAACTTTGCCCTGTTGGCATATCCTTGAAAGTTCAATACAATCAATACCTATTATTACAAGTTACGATGTTTTGATATTATATTGAAATTTCAATCAATGTGCTGCCTTCTAGTGGTTCATTGCTGAACGACGACGAATTATAGTTATTAATTTTGTTCTTTAAGCAAGAAGCGACCATATATTACTTTCGTTTCTTGCAACAAAAAAAAATATTTCGATAAACAGAAAATTGAAAATTTATTAAAATAAGACTTTCCGATGATATGCAATACCACCACGGGTAATATTTTTGGTAAGGCTGTCATTTTTGCGCTCCAAAACAGCACAATAAGACATTTTTCTAGGATTTCACAAAATTTGCATGAAAGAATAACACAACCACACCATACAAAGCAAAAATGGCGGACTGAACTCAGATAGGTT